GTTTGACTTTTGTATTTTACCAAATAGTTCCGCACAGACCTTGCCTTTCAGAGACGGAGCAGCTGGGCTTTCCATGGCTTGGAAGCCACTCGGAAGCTCTAGGACGAGCCTGGTTAAGTCCTGTTGCTGCAAATCAGCCTCTCTGTCCAGCCCCTTCACCTCTGGATGCGGCACCAGGGACCAGGGCGTGGCACTCGAGTGGTGAGGGGATGGTACACGGCACAAGCGTGGGAGTATTAGCAAATGCGGACATTCTGGGCCTGTGCTGGACAGATTCTGCCCCGTTATCAGACACCAGACACCCAATCCCTTACCACACGCTGGGTCAGCCAGAGCGGTCCTGACCAGCCCAGCACCTACTGGGAACTTCTTAGAAATGCAAATTCTCCGCGCGAAACTCTGGGGTGGGCCCAGCTGTAACAAGGCCCCTGGGATTCTGATGCAGCTGGAGTGTGAGAACCAGACCCTCCGCAGGAGCCCCAACTTGGGGTTTTGTGGTCTGGATTAATTGTTTGGCTCTTGGGTCGGCTACAGAAGGACTGCCCCACTCTAAGTAATGACCCCAGGGCTTGCGTCTGAAGGCAGGTGTTGTCTACCTTGCGCAGGGGACCGGAGGGTGGGGTTAGCGATGGGGACCCCACCCGTGCCTTGCTGCAGCACCCTGACAAGCCACCAGGCTGCCTGGGCTCTGAGCTCTTTCTTCCCTGGCGGGGGTGGATTTGCCCTGGCTGGGCGCTGGGTGACCAGTGGCACACATCTGTGAGAAATTCATTTGTGATTAAGCTGCTCTGCTCTGCTCTGAGGCTAGCTAGGACTTTGTTAGCCCCGAGCCTAAGCCCCTGGGATCCAGGGGTGAACCTGCTAAGGGGCATCTCCTACTGGCCCGGCCTGGGGAAGATGGGGAGGAGACTTATCTTCGTGGTGTGAACAAGCATTTGTGTGAATCGCCTGTTTAGCACTTCCTAGAATTTGGGTCCCAGGCCCACTGAACACAGGGCAGGGACCAGCCCTGGTTCCTGGAGGAGCAAACCGGCATGCTTGGTAGGCTTCCTTCTGCGTCTTTGATCCCATGTGAGCAAGACCAGCCGGGGCGTGCAGAGCCCCTGCGCCACAGAGGAATCCCAGCGAGCTTTCAGAGCACGTGGCTGTCTTCAGAGCTTGCTTCGCCGTGCAGGTGACTGAGACCGTGGACCCATCTCTTCACCCTCCGCAGCACGAGATTTAGAACTGGTGCCCGTCAGGCTCCAGACCCACGTCACTGCAGGTGAGCGGGGGAATTCGGCGGAGGGCAAGGAAGGGGAGGCGAGGAGAGCCAAACGCGGGAAACGAGGAGCATCTGTGACCCCTCGTAGAGAATGTTAGAGAGAGATTTCCTAAAAGGGAGGTTGTGGAGGCCCCTCGGCCAGCTCAGGGCCCTGGCATGGCCATGGCATGCAGGAGAATGGACAAACTACCGGTTTTCAAAGTTCCAGATCGGAACCTCAGTGTTCCGCCTCAGAATAAAGACCGTCTCAGAAGCAACGTGTTCGTGGGCATAAAGCAGGTGCCAGGTAAGAGTCACGGACTGAGTGAAGGACTCCAGGAAAACCAAAGGAGTCACGGAGCTGGATCCCCCGTGAGGCAGACGGAGCCCCAGCTCGAGTCCTTGGAAATGAGTGTTGTGGTTCTGGGCCCAGAGCTCGGGCGGGAGCCGCCAGGAAGGGGTCCGGAGCGGCAGCGATGTGCTGCGGGGAGGAGTCCATCACCTGCGCACCTGCGTAGACATCTGTAACCTGGCTGTCTGGGCGGGCAAAGGCCGTTCTCCCTGGGGGAGTGTCCAGGGAGACATGAATGTGAACTTGGAGTCCCTGGGATGCTACCCTCACGAATTCTCCCTAATGACTGCTTTCCCATTCAGCGTTGTGTCCCCTTTGTGAGCAAATAAACAGAACCTGCTTCCTGGGAATGAGAAAGGCCGGATCTACTGATCAGCTTTCAGAAGGAAACCACCACTGGAGTTCGCCTCCCAGAACTGCTTGAGGACTCTGGAAGAGTCTTTGGTCCTGAGTCTTTTGGTCCCAGCAGCTGCCTTGTGGTCTCCACACCTGTACATGAAGTTCTAGAAAATTCCTAACCCTTTGTGCATCCTTGGGGGACGGGTGACTCCCCATAGCTCTGTTCACTCCCAGTGCTGGCACACATCTGAGTGCGGGAGCCTCTCCTGGGTCTTGGGACCTGCCTTGTCCTCTCAGACGGTGAACCTGATGATGGAGATCTTGGACAGTGTGTGTGCTGCTGCTTTGGGGAAGAGTGAGCTGCCAGGTATGAAGTCGACTTTGGCCTTGACTTGTCTCTTTTGTCTCAGCTCCCACACGATGTCAAGAGTTGTGCAGGCCTTTCCTTCAGAACATATCCAGGGGAAGCCACAGATGAGTTCTGCCTGTATCAGAACTCTGTGTAGATGGAGACATACTCCAGGGTCCGGGGACTCCAGAGCCTGGTATGATTACCCACGTCCAAGCCGGGTTCACCTCTTGTCCAAATCATCGCCCTTAGCTTCCAACACACCCATGGAGTCTAGTGTTAACACAAGGGCCAGACTAGTCCTGTGTAGGGTTTTAGACATTTGTTGCTATGTAGCAAGTGCCCTGAGTTTAGTAGCTTCAAACGACATTATATTTTGTAAGGATCGGTTGGGGCTCAGGTGGAAGATTCTTTTGTTGGTCTCCCCAAGGCTTAACCATGTGGCTGCATTCAGCTGTGAGCTGGACTGACTCCAGTCCCTCCAAGATGGCTGTAGACCTCTTCTTTCTTTCTTTCTTTCTTTCTTTCTCTCTCTCTCTCTCTCTCTCCCTCTTGCTCTCTGTCTCTTTTTACCTCCATTTCTGTCTCTATCTCTGTTTCTGTGTCTGTCTGTCTCTGTTGCTCTCTCTGTCTCTCTCTGGTTTTCTCTCTCTCTCTGGCAGGGCTGCTGTTTACTGAGTGGTGACTGTCTTCTAAGAAGAAGGAAGCAGAAACAGACCATCCTCTTAGGACCTGCGTTGGAAGTCCCAGAATTTCGCTCTGTCACATTCTGTGAGTCAGAGCAAGTCACAGCGCTGCCCAGGTGCAAGGGGAGGGGACACCCATCTCAAGTCCTCCCGGGAGCAGACACAAAGATGAACAAAGACAGAAGAGTTGGGCTGCCAGAGATGCAGCCCGCTCCTGTGAATGTCCTTGAAAGACTCCATGTGCTGTAGGAGCCAATGAGACCCATTTGTTTATGTGTTTGTCTGTCTGTCCGCCTCCCTTCACTGGACTGATTTTCTCGTGGACGGGCATAGCTTTTCTTTTGTTCCCGATTATCCTCCATGCCCAGAGCAGTGCCCATGAGTAGGAAGAGCTCAACGAACATTTGTTGAGTGAGTAGAGGAGAAATACATAAGCACATTCAGATAAAGTCATATGTGTGTCTTCAGCTAACTGCCTGTGTTTAGAAGCATGTGGGCAGGTAAGAGAGTTTCACGGCATGGTCAGTCATGGAGAATGTGAGAGAGAAAGTACTGCCCTGGATCTGACTTGAGCTTTTATGTTTAGAGCAAACATGCTGTCTGAAGAAGACTGCGTGGGCTCCCCCCGTGTGGCCAGCCACTCCCAGTGAGGGGCGCACTGTGGTAGTCCTGTGCTTGCTGACGGACGGTACCAGGGGAGCCCAGGCTGGGCCTGTTCATTCCCAGGATCTACCAGAGAAGTTCCTTCACTCCCAACGAACTAGTCCTCAACCTGTCAATCTGTCATCTCCCCTGGTACCATGTTAACCTGTGAATTCCTATCAAGTGAGTCTTCTGGTTGGTAAACAAAGACACACCAATTTGAAGATTAAAAATATATTGGAATAATATGGCAACAACATATTTTTAGCTTTGATGGATGTCCAGTGCTGATTTTTTCCCTTTAATTGCCCTTATTTGGGGGGAGGGGTGTAACCCACCTGACATGAAGGCCTGACATGAAGTTAGTCTGTTCACAGAGCAGCACAGACGCCGCTGCCATTCCAGAAGCTTAGTCCCTGGCACTTTGTTCAACAACAGAACCCTCAAGTCTGGGAGGGGACCCTTAGTTGTCATACCACTGGAGAGATATCTGCTCATGTTTTCAGTAAGATGAAAGAAAAAACATGTCACAGTGACATTGCATCCAGGGTCGTAGTGAGGAGGGATTCACGTGTCTAAATGTCAAGGGTACATAGGAACGTGGGAATGCTCTTTTGGAAGACCATCACCTGGCCATTGTTCCCTCTCTCTCTCGGCACCGAAGCCGTCACAGTTTAGCTGCAAACTACCAGCCCACACTCCGTTTTAGTAGACGCTCATTGTTGAAATCTTCATGTTACTTAAACCTAAATGGAAGCGATATTTGTTATTGGTTTATGGGGAATAATAAAACTTCTCAAACTTCAAAAATGAAAAGATAAAACAATCAACGTTATATCAACTACAGACTCATTTGACGTTGCACACTTTTAATGAACCTGAAATTACAAAAAATATGAGCTCAGATTTTCCAATTATAAGTTATTTTTCTTGACAGCCTGTCAGCCCACTCTTATTTTGGCCAGAACCTGCACTGAAAGCATATTTAGATCTCTTGAGGAGCAATAAGTAATACAGCCTTGGATCCTTAGTGCTATGTTTTACAAATCTCGTCAATCACTAATATTGACATAAAAAGACATTTTCAAGAACCAAAAATAATTTTCCTCTAAAAATGTTACAAAATTATATACATTTTTGGTGCCTTATGTGCAGGCCTTGTTATATGTGTGAATCTAGACTGATAGAAGGACTGTATTTATTCGAGCGGGCAAAGTTATTGGAATTACCAAATGTATATGTAAAAGTATGTTTTCACTCCAGAAACATCAAAATACGTAACATCTCCAAATAAGAGGTGTTTTGTTTTTGCGAAATGTTTTGTACGATGAGGACTCTGTCCACTGGAGCTGCTGCCCACGGGGCTTGACCACTGGATGTTCTTTACAGGTTAGGGGTTCTGCCTTGGAATCAGCTGCTCATCCACTCCAAGCCCGGGAGGAATCTCAGCGGCCCCTTCCCAAGGTGAGCAACTCTTCCGTGTGGCCTTGAAATCTGAAGGTTATTTACCAACTTGATAATTGAACCTGGACTCAATGTGGTGGAAAATGTGATTCCTTCTGCAGACATCAGCTGTAGAATATGTGTGTGTGTGTGTGTGTGTGTGTGTGTGTGTGCATGTGTGGGTGCGTGTATCTGTGTGTGTGCATGACTGTGTGTGTGTGGGCATGCGTGTGTGTGCTGAGATTGTGTACGTGAAAGTCTCTTCTCTGTGCAGATGAAACTGGGAGTGTATTATCACTGTCCTTCCCGTGAGTGTATTGTCCTATACCTGAGGGTGTCCGTCTCTGAAGTTCTAGTGCTTACTTCTAAACTTGATCAAATATCATCATCCATCCATCCCCCCACCCGTGTATTCATCTACTGAAACCCCTTAGAGAACACACCAAGAGATTCTGTGAGGGAGAAAGACAGGAACCAACTCCTCAGGTGACTCCTGCTTTGATAAATGTTTCAGCATTTATTGTTCTGCAACTTGATTTGGGCTTTAGAAGTAGTGGTAGAGTGATTTTTCATTGTGATAATGTAGGTGAAATTTAACTTTTTTTTCCTTAAAAATAATTCCAGTATTGGAGCTCTTGGGTGGCTCAGTTGGTGAAGCATCAGACTCTTGATTTTGGTTCAGGTCATGATCTCAGTCAGGGTCATGAGATCGAGCCCCGTGTCAGGCTCCACACGTATCTTTCTTCACACTGAATGTGGAGCCTGCTTGGGATTCTCTCTCTCCCTCTCCCTCTGTCCCTTCCCAACCCCCCCCACCCCCCCCCCCCCCCCCCCAAAAAAAATCTTTTTTTCCCTAAAAAAAAAAAAAAAAAAAAAAAAAAAAAAGATTCCAGTGTAAGAAAGTATCTAAAGGGATGAGAAGCAACAGCTAATGAGAAAACGTCAATGAAACACATGTTGTCCCCTCATCTTCTCCCCGATTGACTATGAGCAACTCAGTGTTTCCCTGTCCCTTCGCTTTCCTAAAGGCGCACTCCCACCTGCACTTACACTCACCCCACACCATCTGCACTGGACAGGGAGGCCCTGATATAGAGTTATGTTTGCAAAGGTGTTCCTAAAATGGGAAAAAAAAAAAAAAAAAACCCACAGTGCTCTTTCTGGAGCGCCTATAATGGGACCTTTGAAGACATCTTTGTGGGTCCACGATCCCTAAGGGTTTGAACCACCCCTGGAAGCAAACAGTGTGACTGGGGTGGCCCTTTTTCTCCATTTTTCTTCATTCTGAGCATCAGCCACAAACAGTTCCTCCCCTTTCACGTTGTAAAACAAAACGGAAAGACCGTGACTGCCTTTTACCAGACAGAGGTGATGTTTCACGAGAAAGGCATCTCCCAAGGAGGGGTCTGCACATGGTCCACAAGGTCCCTTCCAGGACGCAGTGTGGACGCTGAAAGAGAGTTTCCTGGAGCCAAGGGGCTGGTTCCCGGGTGCTCAGACCATAAACATCCTTCAAGGCACTTAAAAAATCTGCATTTTGTGGGTGTTGGCAAAGCCACTCTCGCTTCCTCCCCCCGCCATCTGTTCTTTGTGTCTGAGCCCTCCCTTTGAACATTTGCCTTGGCGTGTAAATACTGCAATTTACTTCACTTCAGGCTTCAAGTTGATGCCATTTTGACAAATGCACTTGTGGTGGGTCCGTTCCCTAAGAAGCCTTCATGTTTGTTAACCAGACTCAGCTTTTCTTGGTGAAAGCCGTGGGGCAGGTTTTAGGGAGCATAGGGGCACCACTGGGACCTGGCTGTCTGTCCCATCGATGTGATGGTGAGGACAGAGGCCACCTTTCCCCGCCCCCTTCATGACCCACTCCAGACCGTGGCACTTTAGAGCCCACATGCAAAGTCCTGCAGGCCCACTCGGGATGCAAGTCCTCACATCCAGTGTTCCTCTGTCATCTCAGGGCTGTCTGGGCACAGGACCCAGACGGGGTGTCCCGGGCCCCCACTGTCGTTTACAGGCACATGAAACTCCCATGTGAGGAAACACTTTGTCTCAGGGACTGTTCTTAAGAGAGCCACCTCCCCAAGGTGGGCTTGTGTGCGCCCAGCGGGCATGGCTGCTTCCCGGGACCTGGGGTCTCACTGTGGGCACAAGGACGGGCTCCCTCTTTTACCAATTTTCTAGAAGAGGCTTCCTCATGTGTCAGGAGGACTCCAGAGGAGTTTGTAACGTTTGGGACTTGTTAAATCCCTTCATGAGGTGTGGAAGCAGCCAGAATTTGTGAATGGACTTCTCAACAGTGAGGTCGATGTACTGATGGCGCTGGGCTGTCTTGAAAAGCCATGTCCTCGCCCTGCGGGTTTGATGACATTCCGTGGACTCTGTCTGGGGTCTCAGCTGCCTGTTTCCAGGCTCCCAGCTTTCTCCCCATTAGCTGTCTGCTCCTTGCTCTTTCTGCCCTGGCCACCCTGGTATCCTGTGCCCCATAAGCCTTCCACCCCAGGGCCTTTGTATGTACAGTTCCCTCTTCCAGAAATGCCCTTCCCGCAGTGAACCCCACTACCACCCACCTCCACTTCCTTCCTTACTCAGAAGGCTCACCCTGAGAAATCTGTCCGACCTTTCTGCACTGCCTCCTTGCCCTGCCCTGTGTTTAATTCCCTTTGCCAGCTTTGGTTTTCTTCCTTAGCCCTCGCCACCTTCTACTATTTTACGTAGTAAAATACTATGTAATTTATTCTCTTATTTAGTGTGTCTCTCTCCTCTTCCCCAGAGTGTCTTTCTCACTCTGTCTTGTGTTTTCTGTATATCCCCAGTGTCTAAAAAAATGCCTGGCATTCAATAAATACTTGATGAATTAATGAAAAGAGTAGCAGATTTTCTAAGAAATGTTGCTTTCCTTGGCAACACTTTCCACTGGATTCCGTCAGGTGCAGCTCCTGAACACCAAGCGCAGGGGAGATGCAGGCTGTGTAAGCGGCACATGCGGTCAGCCTGGGTTGGCGGCCTTCTGCAACCTGGGTGTCCGCTGCTGGGAGCCGTGGACCCTCCGATCCCTCCAACCCCCGCCTCCCACGCATCAGCTCCTGCCCCCCTGGGCCTCTGCTGCCCAGCACCCCCTCCGCCCCCGTTCAGCCTTTGCCCTGCCCTTTCTCTTCCCTTGTTCTTTCCGGCCTCCGCGCGCCCTCCCTGCGGAGAGCTGGGGATGCCCCTTCTTCTCCGGGATTCCGCGCACACCCGTGCACACCGCGGTCCTGGAGGAGGCCGTGGGTTCCTAGCGGCAGGGCCGCCCCTGCTTCAGCATCCCCCGGGGCTGGGCCTCGAGCAGCGCTGGTGCCTCCTGGTGGGCTCGGCCTGGCCACGGGAACGCCGGCCGGGAGCCCCGGCTCCGGTACCAGCCCTCTCGTGTGGCAGGCTGGCCTGGCGTGGCTCTCCACGTTCCCTGCACGGTGTCCCGCCTCGGTGTCTCGCCGGCGCCTTCTGTGCGCAGCCGTGTCACCTGCCCGGGGTCCACCATTCCGCAGGCGCAGAGCAGCTTTCGGACGGGCCCCATGCGTCACGTGGATTATTTGGTTAGAAATGGGGGACCTGAAGCCATGACCGCGGGGTCCCTCCAGGGGAAGGGTCCACTCCAAGACTTAGAAGACCTCCGTCCGTGGCGGCAGCCCCTCCTTTCAGGCACCCGCCTGCTTCCTGAGCTGGGAACAGCGAGCCGCACCCTGCGCTGGGGCCAGTCCGTGTGTTCTTGAGTTTGCACCGTCAAGAGGACACTCAGTGCGGCGCCAGTCTGTTTGGGATCATGCTTAACGCTCACAGACAATCGCTGAGTTCCCTTCCCTTTGTTTAAAAACAAAAAAATTGGTCAAAAGTTCCATTTCAGGAAATCTCTTCTTTCTTTGCCATGAACAACATGCTCATGACCTCAGAGAGACGATTAAACTCTGCTGACTGTGCTTTGGTGAAGAGACGCTGTATTACACCCGTTAGAGGAATGAAGGGTACGTCCAAGGAAGAAAACATAAGTGGTTCTGATGACGTCTCACAGCGGGTGGCCTCTACCTTTAAAATATTCCATTTTCCTTGGAAAATACAATTCTGATTGGGCTTTGCACACTCAGTTTGGAGAGTGTTTGCACTCATCTTGTTTTCTTATTCACTCTGTGTATAAAACTGGGTGTTTTCAGGCCAGAACAAGATCTCTGTCTGTATCTGTCAAGGGGGTGGCCCCGTCATTCGGAGGAGCACAATTAACACGCAGGTACAAGGAAGAATGAAGGAAAGAATGGGTGCGTGAAGTCCTCGCCCGCCGTGCTGGGCTATGAGAATGACCCGTGATAACATGTGCGGGGGTATCTCCGGGTCGTGAAGTTGTCCTGAGAACTGATGACCTTGGGTAGACCTTGGGTAGAGCTCCCCAGAGAGGTGATCAGCTCACCAGGCAGCCCCCCATTGGGAATGGTCAAATATAGGTTCTACCCAATCAGAATGCACACAGAGAGGCAGGAAAGCTTATTTACTACCCACATATAGCATAGTCTCAATTATGGCTCAGAGCCTCTACTTTTTTATCTTTATTGGAAAATGTTTTAGACTGTAACAGGCAATATTATTGAGTTACTCTGAATCACCTAGACCTGGGCTTTGATCCTGGTTTTTAGTTGCCTGTCAGTGACCTTGCTTAAGTCCCTTATGTTTACTGTATGTCGGCTTTCATTTTTTTAAGTTTTTATTTTAATTCCAGTTAACACGAAATGTTATATTAGCATCGGATGTACAATAAAGTCATTCAATGCTTCCATACAGCCCCCGTGCTCATCACAACAAATGTTCTCCTTAATCCCCGTCCGTTATTCCCTCATACCCCCTCAACCCCCTGTGTAACAATCACTGTGTTCTCTGTAGTTAAGAGTTGTTTCTTGGTTTCTCTCTCTCTCTTTTTGTTTTTTGCTTTGCTTATTTGTTTTGTTTTTTAAATTCCACATATGGGTGAAATCATATGGTATTTGTCTTTCTCTGACTTA